GGGATTAAGTGGACTTATCTGGGACGCCGATAGGGATTAAGTGGACTCATCAGGACGCTGATGGGGTATATAGGTGACCTACTTGGGACGCCAGTAGGGTATTTTGTGAAATCCTTTGAATTATGCACTGCCGTTAAAAGTGTTATAAGCATTTCAATTATTCGGATTATACTTAATTATGCATTTATTGAAAGTGAAGCTGTTGATGCATTTCTGTTAATAGATCTCATTTTCGAAAATATTGATATCTTTCAATCATGATTATTTTTAGGATTATGATGATCACTTACTGAGTAGCCAAATTCATCAAACTATGGTAAACATTTTTTTCAGGATAACTGCGGATTCATTTTGAGTGCTAGTCAAGATCAACCTTGGAAGATACTGTTGTTGTGCTAGCTTTCTTTATTTACTATGTAAGACCTCGCCACTGTAAATTTTGTCCTATCAATAGATGTATATATGTTTTGTCTGTCACATCTCATGAATAACAGTATTGTAAATTTTTGGGGTGTGACAACCCCTTTGTCTCTTGTAGAAGACATACCCAAAAATGGAGAAAATAAGAGATTAGGATCCCTCATTTCTAATTTGTCGAGATTTGCCTTATCCTGAGTTTCCCCAAAAATCTTAAAAATTAGGTTCTCCAATCCAAATTTAACTACAGCCACAAAGAAGAGATATTCCCAATCGCCCAAACTAGTGGGAAATTTTTCTGATGCCCCATGTGTGAAATTACATTGGGCCATTTCATATGAATTTAGGGAAAGATTAGCCTTGGTTGTCACTAATCATCATCCTCATGAACCCAAAAACTGTTCTTTAGACATTTAGAATTTAAAGTTAAACATAGCTTTGTTAATGAAAGAAATAAACTATAGAAGTCTTTAGAAGACAATCAGAAATATTTTCCCTGTGGTTACACTTAACAAAATATTCTTTTACAAAATGTTCTATATATATATATGCACCCGCCTGGAGTATACCGCCTAGTTCATGCCTAGATGGTTTGAGAAAATGGCCACCTAGGTGGCGGTCTAGGCGGCAAGGTGGCCGAATTTTCTTACATTGTTTTGGGTGAAATTCTTATGCTGTTTTAATCATGAATAATTGCTAGTTTTTTCTGCTATCGCATATACCAATTTAAATGCCAGGTAATGGAACTAAAATAGGTCTTCATTTCAGGTGAATTCTGGTTATGATCGTTCAGTGAGAGCATGGGACTGCCGGTCACACAGCACTGAGCCAATTCAGGTGAATACTTTGTTTTGAGCAACTTTACGTGTCATTCTTTTTGTTTGGTCGATACCATAAAATTAGCATGCTTGGGTTTTGAATTGCTCCAAAATTTCTAAATTATAATTACATTTGATGCCCCGGGCAATAGACACTTCTTCAGAATGTGTAATTCTATTTGTTTGACAAACACTGAAATTCTGGCTGGAGAGTGTGGATGGGACCGTTTTCACTTTTGACATTCATGTTGGTAGGTAAGTGACCCTTGGCCCAGTGAGAGCCCCAGAGTCCCTTAGCTGATATATGTGTTGCTTTTCTCTTTTCATTTATAATTGCTTTTCTCCTTTCATTTGAAATTTTGATATCTTTTCTCTTCGATTCATTTCTAGGGCCTCTTGTTGTTATTAACCTGGGAAGTTGATGAGTTGGGGCAGCCTGTGAACTGCATATTGACTTCAAATGACAGTAAGTGCGTAGTAGCAAGTTGCTTGGATTCCGCACTCCACCTTCTTTATAAATAAATATTTTCAGTGATTTTCCATTTTAAATAGTGAAGACAAACTGTGAGGTACTTGTTTCTTATTTCCAATGTCTTTGTCTGAGGTCAACTAGAGAACTCCTTCAAGAATATAAAGGCCATACTTGCAATGTTAGATTTGTTGGGGCTCCAAGTCTGTAGTCAGATTTTTTGTTTGTTATAGCTGATTTTTTTCAATTATGTCTTGGATATTTCATACGCTTCTTTTTTGTTTCAATTATGTTCTGCATGATGCAGTTGGGATATCTTTCTTTCCTGAAGTCCATATTACCAGTCATTATTATTCATCACTGACTGTTAACATATACCAAATTGTTGACTTGAACTTTTCTATTTTTCTCGGAATCCCAATATATACTGCTTATTTTCAGTTCATTATGGAGAGGATCAATGTAAATGTTTACTCTTCCATTTATGGTATTGTCAAATTGTTCCAGTTGTGAATGATATATTATTAATTGCATACTATTATCCTAATGTTAATGAATGACATACTTTGTGTCCTAGGGAGCAATGTTGTATGAAATGTCTCTTAATAGATGTAGGTTTTTTATATGCAAACCATTTTAGTATCTGATCATTCATCTCATATTTTTCTAATACATGTCATTCTCATTTCTACTCCTTTTAGGTATCGTTTCTACAATGACTTACAAGTTATCATCATGCTATCGTCTTATTTCCTTTTGGGCAGTCCTACAAGATGGATTGTTGCCTCACAAACACCGACGCCTATGTCACTAGTGGATCTGAAGATGGCAAGATTTTCTTTTGGGATTTAGTGGATATCGCGTCATCTTTCCAAGCCCATGCCTATTGTTTTGTTTTTTCCTTTTGGGGTTAAGTTTTATAATTAACATTGTTGTGCATTCCATTCCCTTCATGTGCTATTACTCCCTTTTTGTTCATATGCACTACAATGTTATTCTGATGCAGATATCATGGTATTTGATAGATGACAGCCTCTACTCTATGCACCTCTCTTGCATAGAAAGATCAATAGCAGTAATATCTTATCCGAAGTAAAAGTCATGTGATTTGAGTTGTGTGCTTCTTTTTCCATGTTTGTGTGTTGAGGGGTGAATCGCCAAAATACCTTGTATGGCAAATCTGGCTATAGATGTTTCAGTTAATAATTATAGGATCCGAAAAGGCTGAACTGTGAATTTTATTTCCCATGCATTTTACAGAGTTTATGCTGAATTTAATCTTTGAATTAGGGCATCTTTTGCCGCAAATAATTAAAAACAAATTGCTCAGATATGAAACCCAACTTTGATATCATCCAGATTTATTGGTATCAGAATTTACTCATGTCCATGATATTAGATGTATAATCCTTGACATCAGATATATAATGTCATTGTGTGCTTATGCATCTTCGGGTGCTGTATTCAAATGTTTAGTTTTTTACTGTATATTGAAACTACTTGCATGCATCTCACAAAACTAGTTTCTAGGGATTGAGATGAAGCATCGTCTGTTTTATTTGTCCAGGTCAGCCATCAGTTTTGCACCTGGGTAATGCTCTGCCATTATGAACATTCTAACCATCAAGCAGGTGGATGATTCTTAGATGAAACAGTCTTTGTCAATGTAAGTTGCAACATCGGTGGCACCCCACCCCGAGTCCGAAAGTTACAAGATGCTTCACTAAGGGGTAGGTTGGTTATATAGCAGTTATAATCAAATTGGTTACTCAACATATGTAGGGCCAAATTTGTCTACATAGAATGAGAGGTTCAGAAAACAAGATGTCCAAATTGGATTGGAGTTTTTTTTATGAGTTTTAACCAAAGTCGAACTCTGGCATGTTACATATTGAGGGACATGATATGTAGATTTCCTTTGTGAAATTCGTGTTAGGTTGAACAAAGAGGAGGCAAGACCTTCATACAACTTACATACAAAAAGAAGGGTGACAAGCATGTCCTTTGGTGCATACGGAATGACATCCATGGCCTTATGTCTTAAATACATGGATGGAATGCAATGTTGCTTCATTTGAAGGCTGCTTTAGTTTGGCTGGGGAAGAGAAGCACTTTGATGTTTCGGCTGATTCTGGGGAAGACTTCGGCTTTTCTCTAACAATTAAAAAAATAAATTTAGGGAAAAAGAACTCCTAGAAAAATAATGAAATTGAAGAAATGGAAATAGATAGTTTTTCTTGAGAAAGCCATTTAACATTGCCATCCATGACTGATTCATACCCCATTAGTCATTTATCAGGTGAAGCTCATGTCATTTTGCAATTTATAAAATCCAAAATATGTTTGGCTAGATTATGGGGACAAAACCTAAATTCACTAGTGTGTGTTGATTACTAGAGGGAGGATAAAAACTAATAAAAGATCTTCATGCTAAAGTTCCTAATGAAATGTCGGATTGTTTTCTCAAAATATCTACACACATTTAAACCCGGAAAATCTAAAATCCCAATATTGAGTTTCTTTAACGGTAGCTCCCAGCAGAAACCACTGTAAGAAAATCAATGAGGTGGTTAAATGAACAATTTTACCATGGTTGATTTTAAAGTTTTTTAATTTAGTTAGCTCCTAAATAATTTTTTTAAACCCACATGCTCTTATTACAGGTTTGTAACCCAATGAGTTGAGGATGTTCTGGTAATTTGATCATGGGAAGTTACTTGAACCAAGCAAATTAAATGCCTCTACTTTAACCAAACTTATAACATGTTTTTTCACTAAGAAATATTGTTTCAGCCTTCCGGGTTTTAAACTAGATATAAGCAAGGGGCTCTTGGGCAATTTGATCAGTTACCTGATCTGACGCAAATACTCTTGATTCTTCTGAGTTGCAAACCCCAAAAAGATTTTTTTAAAAAAGAAAAAACAAGTTGCAGGTATCTAATTTAGAACGACCAGGGTATTTAGATTATATAGCTCAAGTAAGTGCTGAAATTGCGAATTAGGTTCCATATCGAATATAAGTGTAATTTGACTATTTTTTAACAAATTAATTTAGGAGGTACTCAAAGAAAGTTATTTTTAAAAGTAATCACTTTTCTGGTAAATTAGTTGGCTTAACTATCTCACTGATTTTTTCTTGATGATATTTCCGTTTGAAAGATAAAAAATTAAAAAATGATAAAAACCAAGAAAAACATGCTTCTAACAGGAAAAACGTTAAGCTGAAAAAAATGGAACAAGGTACAGATTACCCTCACACTCAATAGTGATTCCCAGGCTTCCAACCACCGAACCGGCCATGTCCATAACCATGGTTCTTGGAATGCGGATACTTATGGTGGCCATAACCGCGGATGATCGAATCCCCATGCAAGTGAGAATGGTGTTCACCACGACCTGCGGGGCTTGGATAAACGCCACCAGCTACCGGATATCGATGTTTCGGATGGAAAGTATACTGATGTTTAAACAAAGGTGGAGACCTTTGAAAAGGATAGCGATATCTCGGCAATGGGGACCTTGGGAGAGAGGACCCATGTTTCGGTTGGAAAGTATACTGATGTTTAAACAAAGGATAGTGATATCTCGGCAGTGGAGACCTTTGAAAAGGATATCGATATCTCGGCAATGGGGGCCTTGGGAGAGAGTACCCATGTTTCGGCAGAGGGGGCTGAGGAGATGAATGCAAGGGCTTAGAATTAGGGTGTGTCTCAGGCAAGGGTTCTGGAGTTTTAGGCAAATCTTCGTCAGGAGAAGGCTCTGAAGGAGGGGAGAATTTTGGATGGGGAGACTCTGGCGAGAGGGGTTCCGGGGCACAGGTTTGGGGAGCAGGAGACCCAACGGAGAGGATGCTATCGAGGCCATGAGCCACGAGGTTTGGCCCGGAGAAGAGGTCGATGTCCTGGACAACTACGCCATCGGCATGGAAGAGGTGGAGGTGGGGTGAGTGGGTGAGGTTGATTTGATGAGTGGGGAGGAGAGTCGGGAGGATCAGCCAAGGAGGGAGGTCTTCGATAGTGGGGGAGGCAAAGAGGCCGAAGGCGACATGGGCTTGGAGGGTCTCAACATAGCCATGTGGGGCGAGAACATGGGTGCGGAGGTTGAAGATAGAAGGGTCGGTGGGGATGAAGAGGCTGAGGGGGAAGTCGGAGTTGAGGATTAGGGCTTTGAGGTCCGAGGTTTCAATGGCATTGCCAAAGAGATTGTAACCTGTGGTTTTGAGGGTGATGATCATGTCCTTGAGCTCTTGCTCAGGTATGGCAGCTTCGGCGCGTGAAAGAAGACTGAAGAAGAGAGGAACTAGGAAGGGGAGTAGGAGGAAAGGCCTTGTACACGAAGAGACCTCCATAACTGTATTTGCTCTAAACTTTTCTCTCTTAGTATTTATAGAAAGGGAAATATTTAATACTGAATTGTTAGATTGGTAAGATAGAGTGGGATTAGGTTGCAATTAGTCTTTGTTAAACCCCGGGACTCTCTTTTATGAGAGAAACATTTTATTGGTAAGACGTTGGAGAGGAAGGATTTATTAGTTATATAGTTATTAATCCCTTTTGTTGCAGGATTTGGACATGGATATTGAAACGGTACCGAGCTTTCATTAAATATAGAGTAGCCCTTTCAATTTGAGGACACGGTTTTGGTGAGTCAACTAACTCACCTATTATCATGCACTTCCTTGTTAATTTAACAACATCGTGTTAAAATTTGGTTTTTTTTTTTTTTGGGTGAGTATCATGTCAAAAAATGCTACATCCATTAAAAGTTACATTGGAAAGGAATTCAAAAAATAACATTTATATTTTTTTGAATTTTTTTTTTCCAAATTTAAGTGACTGTCATGTTGAGATTATCGAAATCTAAACTTTTGAATTGAAAATTTCTTTGAGATATATTTTGCAGGGAGATTCCATAAGAATAGTGTGAGTCAGCCGACACACTAAATACTTTTTTTTTAATTTGTCCGTTGCTGACAAATAATCCAGCAATGGGTACCCTCGATCAGTCGAGATCAGAGAGGAAGAAACGACTGGCTATGAACTTTTAATTTTATTTCGTACAAATTATAGCAAATTGAAATTAGACGTGTATACTTTTCAATTAGGCACACTTATATACAATATTAAACAAATAATTTGTAAAACTTGATTGACTAAAATACCCTAGAAACATCTAGGGTATTTTTTATCAATTTATTTTTTTACGATTTATGTAGATATTTTATTTAGATCTTTTACCTAGGTGTCCCTTATTGAGAAATGTAGACGTCTAAAATTTCAATAAAATACTATTTGTAAAAAATTATTAAATTTGAAATTTTAAATGAAATTGGACGTCAATCGTATTTCCTTTTGATCTATATACCTTTGGAACTTGGAAGTGGTTGCACACCAAATTTGATAGTCCAATCAACAGGACGGATGCTATACTATCCCCAAAAAGGTATTAGATTTTTTTTGAACTTTATGACACATTCAAGCTATTAGATTTCACATCAAATGATTATCAAATGATTATAAACAATTATGACATCCTTATTTTAAAGGTAAATAGTCGGTGCATTTTGGTTGATGCTTTTATTAATGCATGGAGAAGGGTTAGAGAGAGAATATAAGGTTTGATGGCGGAAGCAAGGAACAAATGAGGGATAATGAGGGAGTATTGCCCTTTAAAGATAAGAGTTCTATGAGTCCATGTAAAAATGAGTCACCTCTTAAAAATTTATTTTTGAGATGGAATTTTGGACTTAATTTTTAAGGACATGAAATCTCTAATATGGAGATCATGAATATAAAAAAAGTAAATAAATTTTGAAAATTAGAGATAAAAATTATATTTAAAAATATTTGGATCATTAGTTTCAATTGTTTGTAAATGGACCACCTATTTGCATCTATTTTTAAAATGGATGTTTTATGCCTTAGGACCGCATATGGTGGAAATGCCATTCAGTCCGCATGAAACAATTTTTCTTTCCTTGGTTTAAATAAATGCATCTTCATCAAAAATGGGAAAAAAAAACATAATTTTTGGGTTATCATATTCATGAGGTTTATTGCTGGTTACCAAACTTGTAGCATCTCTCAATGTTTTTTTTTATGAGAAATGTTTTGGTTAGTTTGGAACCTACCTAGTACACTTGTGCATACGAAAAAGTTTTCATATAACAATTCTTCCCCATCTCAAGAGGTATTGAGGTTTTTTCACACCAATCGCTCCATCTTATGGTAAACTATTTTGCCACAAGGTAAATTCATATGAAAAACCTCCACACGTCTTGACAAGAGGAAGTGCTTTCATATGAAATTTTTTCATGTAAATTTCTTCATACAAACCAAATGTACCCTTAGGTGAAATTGATAAAATAATCATAAAGAAAAGAAAGAGAGGATGATCTGTTACAATTAACACCTTTGAGCTCGATCTTTCTTAAATTCTCATAGTACATGACTTGGAGTGGATTTTTTGTATTTTGATTTCTAGATGATTTGTGAGGTGATTGGAATCATATGCATACACAAACATTAATGAAAGGGTGGCTTCTGTATAAGATGCCCACTTATATTACACAAGTACAACACATTTTAATATTTTTTGGAAGATGTAGTTTAGGTCTCGAAAACTCATAACTATTGAAAATCTTCAAGATAAATGGTCTATGTAACTTGTTACAAGATGTACTATTTTTAAGATTTAAAATTATTATTATTTTTATATTCATACATGTTGAGGTCGAGATGATGAATTGAAAGATTTTGCAACTGAACACTAATATAAAAAGATTTTTTAACAAAATTGAAGCAACTGCGAGCCCTATTGTCCTTCATGAGTATCCCATACAAATAAATGGATAGCGCTCAAGGTTGCTTTTAGGGTTACAAAAAAACGGATCAGGAGGGTAGATTGGATCCCCTTTGCACCAATTTGGATCGGTTGGTGCAAGTGACACGCCTGGTCTACAACAAAAAATAAAAAATAAAGCAAAGCAAAGAAAAGATGTTATATAGATTTATCTTATGTTTCTGTGACGATTTAAGTCCTAAATTAAATATAAGAAACATGGATTATTTGGTATAACCGAGAGATCATGGCTGATTCTTGAGAGAGAATCGGCCCAATCAACCCCCATCCGATCGCGAACCATAGCATTTGAAAGGAAAATTTATAAAAGTGCACTCAAGAGTTGAACTACTTAATATTTTATCTATTTTTAAAATTTAATTTTGAAAAAATTCATCAAATACATGTAGAATTAAAATAAGTACAATATTAAATACAGGCTAAGTAAATTGTTTTTCATAAGGCCAAAAGATTTCATGCTCCTGTTGGAACATACTGTCCAGTTAAGCAAAACCTAATCCAAGAGCATTTTTAGGACAAAATTTATATTAAAAAAACCCCAAGTTAGGCTTCTGCCCCAGGGAGCAAGTGTACAGTATGCTCCGGTATACGAGAGCAAATGCTTTTGCCTTTAGAAAAGCATAGATGATACTTGATAGCTTCATTTTGGTAGAATTTAGCGTGATTTGAAGCAGTGAAAATGGCGGTGAGCGATGTGCCCTCGAAAGAGGCGAGCGTGCTGCGAGGCCACGAAGGCGCAGTGCTCGCTGCGCGCTTCAATGGCGATGGCAACTACTGCCTCAGCTGCGGAAAGGATCGCACCATTCGCCTCTGGAACCCCCACCGAGGCATCCATATCAAGACCTACAAATCCCATGGACGCGAAGTTAGAGACGTCCACGTTACAAGGCAATCTCTCTCTCTCTCTCTCTCTAAAATGGCGAAGTAGGAAGTGCTTAATTTGATTACTGTTGGTCCTTGTGTTCTGGCGCAGTGGCTGAGGTTTTTTTCTCTCTCTGAATTGATAACGCTGGATTTTTTCAATTTTTTTCGTTTATACTGATAATACTAGTGCACTCATTGAGTTTTATTAAGGCGATTGCTTTTCTGGAGTTCCTTTTGCAATTAGGGTTGGGCCATAATGTGACCTAATGGATAAGATCTTTGTCCATAGAGGTTGAAGTCATTGTTCCTGAACTCTTATTTTCACCTCACGACACTAAGGTATTTAGTTGAACTCTCATTTTCACCTCACGACACTGATGTATTTAGTTCGGCATACTGGTAGATGTATCAGTTTGGTTGAACGAGGACGAACTTTATGTGGTTGAATGATAGCCCACTGATCTAAAAAGATGATTTCAGTGTTGTTCATTTGGGTGTGACAGAGAAAATATGGTGAACATAGATTACTTGCTTTGGCATAAATTGAAGAGAATTAAGTAAAATAATGTATGCCATAGGGATTGCCGTAATCTTGAGATAATTGGAAATGCTTAATTTTCTATCGGAGCCCTTAGATTTGTACTGAAGAAATCTCAGAATTTCCCTTGCATGCGAAATGGAAACTAGATATACAAAAATGTTTGTAGAGGCTGAGTTCTTTGCAATGTTAGCGCTTGAAACAAATTCTCTTATTGCTTGTTACAACTTTTTTCTTCTTCTCTTTTTTTTGCGTGTTCGTGTATGAGCATTAAAGGTGGAATCTGATAAATACCTTCCGACACTGAATATGAAATTTCATGTCATGGATATTTGGCTGACTAATTTTGGAATCATAACAAACTTATTTGGATTCAACCCAGAAGAAGAGGCTTGATATCGACCTTGTGACAGGAACTTCTCTAGGTATGAAGTCAAAATAATTGAATTCCTTCATTTTATGTTGACTTTGCAGATGTCTGTGCCTATAGTCCTATTGACGAATTATTAACATTCATGACAAATGGATTGGATTTTGTAACAGTTCTTTTGCTAAAGAATGCAAAAGGATGACTCCAGTTTTGCTTAGGACTTAGGAGCATGTGTTCTTTACAACCTGAGAACAATGAAGTAATTCTTCTCTTCAACTGCAGTGGAGTCTCCAGTGCCATTTGAGCATATTTATTGCTTTCACTTGACTTTCCATCACTTGTGTAATTGTACCAAGTTACCCATGGACCATGCCATTCTATCTTTGTATTCAGATGATGCTTCTTCAAAATAATTTAAGCTGATTATGTGTGCAGTTACGGACTTAAACATCTAAGGGCTAACAGCTGGTGCTCATAATTTATGATGGTTCTACGGATAAACATGTAATGAAACAATTAAAAAGGTTCATTATTCTGGATCTATGTTTCTAAAAATTGTGAGATACTATTCTCATCCCATTTCGACTGTAAGGAGTTCCACCATAGTTCAATGGTAGCAAATGAAAGCTGCTTCTTGTGCTGAATAATCATTCAACTTGGTGAGTACATTACGTCTATTGGAGGTTTGATTAGTGACCTCAACAATTTATAAAACCATCCTGATTAGATGGTATTGACTTTTTAAGTTCTTTTAGATGCATGTGGAATTTAAGGTCACAATGATTACTTTGGGCTCCTTAACCTGCAAACTGTTTTGTCATTCCTCATGTTAATGATTGAGAACTATCTGATCTTTGAAAAAAATGAACCTACTTTATAAATGTCTTTTAATGGCTATAACAATTTCATCAACATCCAAGTATCGACAATATTTTTTGCTTGGAATTCACAGGGACAACTCCAAATTATGTTCTTGTGGGGGTGATAGGCAAATCTTTTATTGGGATGTGTCAACGGGTCGTGTAATTCGAAAATTTCGTGGTCATGATAGTGAGGTTTGCTATGTTATTGTTTTCTTGTTATTTTGATTGCCTATTTTTCTTATTGATAGTTGATTACTGGAAATTCAATTGGAATTATCTTTGTGCTATCAAGAAAACACATACAAGCTCAATTTTTGTAGTGGACTTTATAGAAGCAAAGGTCAGACTCTTCTTATAGTGCCATGTGCCACTTTCTTTGCAAAATGAGTTTCTAAATATGTCATATATTATTGTCGGCAAGCAAGCCACTTTTGGAACATGGAGACTGTGGATGTATTGGAGGAGAATGTATATATCATAAGCTATTGGAATATCTCACTCTAGTATGTTGACTAGTAGTGAATGATATTGTTCACTAGGTGCCGGAAGGAGGGCGTATACAGTGAACTCTATATGGGATGCATTTTACTTTGTAACTACTGTGATATACAATGTATTTTATTATTAGTTAAAAGCGGCAGGAAAAAAGATAATTATCAAAAAAAAAGGAAGGAAATTAGAACATAGCCTCATTTTGAGCATTAAAATTTTATATGACTCAAGTTAACCTTAGGAAAAAAAAAAAAACTTTATACGACTGACATCACCACCTTTTTTTGTTTCAGCCTTCTTATTACCTTTATGGTGAATCTTTCTGAAGTTATGTTTTTGATAAGTAACCGTTCATATTAGGGTATACTTCAAGTTGCGCCTTGGTGCGTGCAGACAAATAGAGACATATACATCATAGAAGACAGAAATGTCGAGCCCGAACAATCCCTAAAACTGCATTTAATGCTTGCAGTACCTCAATTGGCCAAGAAGCGACTGTTGATGTTAAATTTGATGGTTCCAATGTCAGGTGGGAGCCATATAGGAGGACCTCAGGATGGACCTTAGCAAAGTTCTCATAACAATGTCCCTTTTTTGGATGAAATCTATTGTGGCATAGACTTGTATCTTTTGGTGAAGGTGGCCCAAAGATTACTGTCACTTTTATCTTGTCTTTGATGGCCTCTGTGTTTGATTCATCCCCTTAAGAAATGCATTTGTTCCTCTTAGTCTGAATGACCTATGGAAGGCCAGCACTAGAAATCGCCACAATAACGAATGTAAAATAATAAATATGTGTAACGATAAATTCCGAAAACAAAGTCGAATCAGAATAACCATATAATTGCCTACTTAAGATTTGATTTATACCATGATTGAAGCAGATGCATGCCTGCAAAAATGCGTCAGGCATAGTTGGATATTAACTTAGAATGGAGCTACCAAAAAACAAAATCTTACATGCATGCAAATAACGAACCAACATAAAATAAAGATAACCATCTCATTTAGTCCCTTAGGCTTTAGGTTAGTGGAAGACTTCCCCCCCTCCCCTTCTTCTTAGTAGAAGGTCATTGGTTCGCCTTGAAGTTTGTTCTAACATAAGAAGCCAAAGTGTCTTAACCTTTTTCATTAGAAATAGCTCATCAAAAGAAAAAGAAAAAAAATGTGATAAACGTGGTGTAGACTCTTCAGCGAGAACCTTCTGAGTTCTGACCATGCATAGTTGGATGCCAACTTATATCGGAATTCTCTGCTATAGTGCCTGTACTTTCTGAGATTAGAAAATGTAACTAGGGGCTAGAAGCTACAGAACTATGGAGCTACGGAGCTATACATGAGCGGGGTGGTGCAAAGCTGAAGTCATCAAGGTATTAACAAGAGCTTGAAAACTCTTGATCTGCTATTTTAGAATAATTTTATGATCTCTGTGAAATTGGATTAGTTGCTTTCAAATAAACCAAATCAACAAAGTAACAAAGGTGGAGAAATCAAATCACAAGCACACACAAATGTGTTGAGCAGGTACAAGGATGATTTAAAAAAATAAAATAAATAAATAGAAAAGACACTACAGATTTTTAAGTGCAAAGACCTCTATCACTCTCACTCTCTCACACACACGGAATTGCTTGCCCCTATCTGGCCCTGTTTATAGTGCCAAGCCTCCCTTAGAAGACAATTTGTATGCAGAGTTTCCCATTTGATGAGATTATATAGCAAAAAGTGCTCCTAAACTATCCTGCATGGATAAGCCTTTGTCCCTTGGTGAAAACACACTAAATTGAGAAAATCAGAGATAAGCATCCCACATTTCAAATTTGGTCAAGATTTTTCTTATCCTGAGTTTCCCCAAATCTTAACAATTATGTTCTCCAATCCAACTTTGATTACTTCCGCAAAGAAGAGTTATGCCAAATCTCCCAAACAACTGGGAAATTTTTCTCATATTGGATCACCTCATATGAAATTTTGTTTTTTGAGAGAAGGTTAACTTTCATCTCATATGAATTAATCCAAACATTAAGTAAAAATTAACATTGGTTTTAACCAACCATCATCCTCATTAACCCGCAAACTATTCCTCAGTCAAGTAGAACTTAAAGTTCTGGTAAGCTTTGTTAATTAAAGAAGTAAACCATAGAAGGGTTCAGAAGACAATGAAATCTTTGGTCTTAAATGTGGTTACACTTGATAAAGTACTCTTTTACAAAAGGAATTGTATACTATGAGACCATTTATTTTTTGTACAAGAAGGTCACAAATTTTCTCAGGCATTATGTGAAATCTAACATATTAAAATGTATCACAGCTTTTTATAAAATTGTTTCTGGCTTTGTGCTCCATTAGTGACACATCACGACCTGTCCGCTTTCACATCCAAGATTGACAATGATTGTAACCTTCTTGTATCAAAAGTAAATGGTCTCATTATATACATTTCCTTTACAAAAATGATCTCTTTATATACAAAGATGAATATATAGATAAATATGTATTGATATCGCACAGAACATAAATTAAATATAGCATTTTGGGAATTCATATGCTGTTTTAACAGTGAATAATTAGTAATTTTTTCTATCCTTGCATAGACCAATGTAAATGCCAAGTAATGGAACTGAAATATGACTTTATTTCAGGTGAATTCTGTGAAGTTCAATGAATATGGAGCTTCCATTATATCAGCTGGATATGATCGTTCTGTGAGGGCATGGGACTGCCGGTCCCACAGCACTGAGCCAATTCAGGTGAATATATTGTTTCAAGCAACTTTACATGCCGTTCTTTTTGTTTGGTTGATAGCATAAAAGCTTGGGTTTAGTTGCTCCAAAATTTCTAAATTGTATTTACATTTGATGCCCCAGACAATTGACACATTTTCAGACAGTGTGATGTCTATTTGTTTGACAAAAACGGAAATTATTGCTGGAAGTGTGGATGGGACAATTCGCACTTTTGACATTCGTGTTGGTAGGTAAGTGAGCCTCACCCCAATGAGATCCCCAGAGTCCCTTTGCTGATATATGTGTTGCTTTTCTCTTTTCATTTAGAATTGCTTTTTTGTTATTAACCAGGGAAGTTGTTGATGACTTCGGACAGCCTGTGAACTGCATATGCATTTCAAATGACAGTAACTGCGTATTAGCAAGTTGCTTGGATTCCACACTCCGCCTTCTAGATAGGTAATTATTTTCAGTGATTTTCCTTCTTAAATATTGAAGACGAACTGTGGAGTATTTGTCCCTTATTTTCAATGTCTTGGTTGCAGGTCGACTGGAGAGCTCCTTCAAGAATATAAAGGCCATACATGCAAGGTTAGATTGACTGGGGCTATAAGGCTGTAATGAGATTTTGCATTTTTGCAGCTGATTTTTCTTTTAATTATGTGTTTGATATTTCATTCAAGGGAACTTACATACGGCTTCAATAGGCGATAAGATGATTAGAAAGTAGACTTAGGTGGACCTTCCATGTGTAGCGTAGAGCTAATATAACACTGGTTAGGAGGTGTGATTTGGTTCAAGTGGACGGCTCCGAAAGGGCAAGAGAAATGCCCAAAAGGATATGGATGGAAGTAGTGAGAAAATATATTGTGACTTATGGTCTTACGGAGGGTATGACCCTTGATAGAGCAGAATGGCGGAATAGGAATCATGTAACTTTATAACACTATGTTGATGATGATGTCTTAGATATTTCATATTTGTTTCTTTTTTTTTTCAATTCTGGTCTGCATGATACAGTTCAGGTGTCTTTCTTTGTTGAAGTCCATTTAACCAGTTACTAATATAGTAGTGTTAACATGAACCAAATTGTCAACTTGAATTTTTCTATGTTTCTCAGAATCCTAATATATAATGCTTTATGTTTAATTCATTACGGAGGGGATCAAAGTAAATCTTTGTTGGGCATATGGTATTGTCAAATTGTTCTAGTTATGAATGATATATTATCAATTCCTTACTGTTATCCTTATGTTGATGAATGACATACTATGACCTAGGGACCAATGCTGTATGGAATGTTTCTTACTGTATGTAGGTTTTGTCTATGTAAACCAATTTAGTATCTAATTGTTCAACTCATTTTTTTCTGTTATATGTCATCCTCTTTTCTACACTTTTTAGGTATCATTTGTATGATGACTTACAAGTTACCATCATGCTATGGTCTTATTTCCTTTTGGGCAGTCTTACAAGATGGATTGTTGCTTCACAAACACCGATGCCTATGTCACTAGTGGATCTGAAGATGGACAGATTTTCTTTTGGGATTTAGTAGATGCCAGTGTCATGTCATCTTTCAGAGCCCATGCTTCAGTGGTATAATTTATACTTCTAATTTTTGTTTCATTTTTTTCCTTTTGGGGTTAAGTATGCCATTTATCGTTGCTGTGCATTTCATTCCCTTCATATACTGTTGCTCACGTTTGGTTCATATGCTCTATGATGTTATTCTGATGGAGATATCATGGTATTTGGTATATGAGAGTCTCTATGCACCTCTCTTATATAGAAACATCAATAGAAGTAATAATCTTATCTGAAGTAAAAGTCATGTAATTTGAGTTGTGTGCTTCTTTCTCTATATTTATTTGTGTTGGGGGATGAATCCTCAAAATCGCTTGGATGCCAAAACTGGCCATATATTGATGTTTCGTTTAATAACTATAGTATCCACAAAGTCTGACCTTTGATTGGTATTCCCATGCATTCTACAGATTTTATAGAATTTTTCATCTTTGAACTTGGACATATTTTCAGTAAATAATTTTAAAAAGAAAAAAAACCTCAAATATGAAACCCAACTTTGACATCATTCAGATTTATTGGTATCAGAATTTATGCATGTTCTGGATGCTAGAGATGTATAATCCTCAACATTAGAATCATAATGTCATTGTTTTTTATTAGTAACTTTGAACAGCTTGTCATAAAACACAAGTTTGTGAACATTTCTTGTGTGCAATGCACCTTCGGGTGCTGTATTGAAATATTTACTTCAATTGTATATTGAAACTAGATGCAAGTCATTACAATTGTTTCAAGGGATTTAGATGAAGCGTAGTCTGTTTTATTTGCTTAGGTAAGCACAAGTTTTGCACCTGGATAATGTTCTGCGATAATGAACATTCTAACCATCAAGCAGGTGATCGATTCTTATATGAAGCGTAGTCTTTTTTAATGTAATTTGCAACACCGGTGGCGTCTCCATTCCAAAGTTCGAAGATGCTTGGCCAAGGGGTAGGTTGTTATATAGGTATTATAATCAAATTGGTTACTCAGAATATGCAAGGGCAAAACTTGTGTACATAGAATGAAAGGTTCTGAAAAAAGAAGTATCAATTTGGATTGGAGTTTTATTATGATTTTTAACTCAGTAGAACATTAACATGTATGCTAACATTGATTACTTGATAACATTTTAGAAGATTGAAGGACATATGTAGATTTCCTTTGTGAAATTTGTGTTAGCTTGACCGAGGACAAGGCGAAACCTTCTTATAACCTCTTAAAGGTGACGAGCATGTCCTTTGGTGCTTACAGAATGACATCCATGGCCTTGTCTTGTGTATATGGATATAATGCAATGTTGTTCCTTTTAAAGGCTGCTTCAGTTTGGCTGGGGAAGAGAAGCACTTTGGTGCTTCAGCTGATTCAGGGGAACACTTTGGATTTTCTCTAACAATTAAATTTTTTGAAAAAACAAGTAAACTTAGGGGAAAAAATACTAAGAAAATTAAAGAAATTGAAGAATGTAAATCTGTAGTTTTGTTTTTTTTTGGATAAAACCATTTAACATTGCCATCTACGGCTGATTCAGACCCCAATAGTGATTTATGAGGTCAAAGCTATGTCATTTTGTAGTGGAAATGTATAAAATGAGACTATTTACTTTTGATACAGGAAGGTCACAATCATCATTGACCATTAGATTTGAAATCAGGTGATAGAAGACGGTTCATTGTTTGGGCACAAAGTCCAAAATAAAACTTTTCCAATGTTGTGACGCCATTTCATCTATGGTATTTCACATCCAATGGCTAAAAGTGATTGTGACCTCCTTGTAACAAAAATAGAGTCTCATAGTATACAATCTCTTTTGCAATTTATAAAATCCAAAATATGTTTGGCTAGATCATCGGGACAAAACCTAAATTCGTAAGGGTTTGTATTGTTTACTGGAGAGAGGATAAAAACTATTAAAAGATCTTCACCCTCAAGTTTCTAATGATACATCCAATTGTCTTCTCGAATATCTTTACACATTTAAGCCCTAATATATGGAAAATTTAAAATCCTAGTATTGCTTGCCATTTATGAGAGAGGAACTGAAACTCTTCACAGTCCCCAAAACATCAGTTGAAATGTTTTTAAGAAAAAGAGGGAAAAAAAGCATTTTTGGACCTGAAAATTTTGCTTCAATAAAAATAGAGTTTTGATTCAGCCTGGCTTCGGCTGATGCAAAGTGAATTTAGTAACATTTATATCATGACTAAGGGGCAAAACAAATTGACATGTGCATAAGACAGAAAGCATCCTTGCTAGGACTTCCCGCAAACTGGAGCAATGGAATGAAAAAGGTGTGTCAGTTTGTATGTAAGAAACTGGTTTTGTGATTTAGAATATAGCTTTAATAAGTATGATGTTGCCTTGTCTTTGGTTGGGTCCATTGCTTATTGCAACATACACTGAAACCCAACATACATGTTAAAAAAAGAACTACAATGAAACCCAACATGTCTTTATTTTTGTGTCATCTGCTGCATCATCATGTGCATTCAGAGCTTTCTAGCTACCTTTATAAGTAATTTGATGCCATATGCAGCACAAACATTTATCACTTAAATTCTCCTATTATTTCGATTGCCCATCATTTAAACCACATTTCTTCTCATTTCCTAGGAACATTCTGTAAGTAACTGGGGCAAGTCCCGAGGAACTGCTATGCATTTGATTTCTTGCCAAGCGTCACTCTAGATCCATTTTCCCCATAGTTTAGAATTTTTTGCTAATCCGCAAGTTCTAAGTTCTGCTTAATACAATGAATGGCAGGTAACGAGCGTGAGTTATCACCCAAAAGATAGTTGCATGATCACATCCTCAGTTGATGGCACAATTCGTGTTTGGAAGACATGAGTTGGTGTGTCCCCATCGCTCAAATATTTGTAGCTTTTGTCTTGTGATTTATCCAAAAAGCTTCAAGTTCAAGGTTTCTTCTTAGTTCTCTGTCACAATTGATGTCATTATTTAGTGGGAGCTTCTCTGAACTATTTGTTGTCTCGCACCTACGTAACTGCATGTTGTCAAAATTAAAACAGCAGAAAGGCAAGACAGAAAGAAGGAATTTGAAGGAAAGGAAGGGTGAAACACACCGTCAAGTTGTAATAGCAACGAGGTGCATGTGTTACTGAATCTTTTGCCATCCCAACATTAGCAGAAAACCTATTATCAAATGATTTCGAAAAACTTTGAAGTAATTTTGCCTTTGGACGCTATTGACGATTTCTTCCCCTTACGAGCAGAATTGAAGTCATCCTGTGAGTCTCTCTCTCTCTCTCTTGTGGAATTGAGGCCCTCTCTCTGTGCCTGCATGGGGGTCATTCACGCGTGTGTGCAATTGCATTCCCACTAACATAAGTTAAAAGGGAGGTCAGCTTTTTGCTTTTTCCGCTATTTTTTTCTTTCCTTTTTGGGACTAACCTTATAGGTTGAAAGCAGCGTTTTAAAAATCGGCGAGTCGGGAACCGGTACAGTTCGTGTTGGTTTCAATACAAAATCGAAAACCGTCTGGTTCTAGAGAAGAGCCGTCGGTTCCAATTCGGTTCTACCCGGTTCTTTCCCTGTACGCGTGCGATACGTGTGAGGTTATCTTAATATTTTTACACAAATATTTTAATCTATATTACATAGGTATTTATATATTAAAGTGAAATATCCATCTTTTGATGTAGGATAATTTTCAAACATCATTAAATGAAAAGGGAATTTAAATATATTCTATTAATCATCAAGTTATAACTACATATGGTGAGGTTGTGTGGTGGTTAAGACTTTTGTTTCTTCGTGTGATGTCTCAAGGTCGAGTCCTACCGTGGGCGTTATTTTTTTTGTATTGTATAGTCTTTGTTGTATATATTGTATAAATAGTTTTGTAAATAATATAAAAAGTATAAAAAAATGAAAAATAAAAAAGTTAATTTTTTGCATAGCAGTTAATTTTTGTTGTATATAGTGTTATAATTATTTTTTTAAATAATATGAAAAGCATAAAAAAATAAAACATAAAAAGTTTATTCTATTTGAAATCTCCATCTTTCTTCTAACAATCGTTTTCACTAAATTTATTACAGAAACTTAAAAAAATAAATTTTTGAAAAATTGAAGTGTTATTTTCAAAATTTGTACGCATTTTATTAATTTTTATATTGATAACCAAATCTTTTATTTTATTTATTAATTTTTATATTATAAATAAAGTAATGTATTATTTTTCTTACAGTTGTCATTAATACATTTTAAATTAGATAATATTATAAAATATTTTAAATTTGTTATTATTTGTCTAATAAATAATTATAAAATGTAAATTAATAATTATAATTTCAGTATATAATATTATAATTAATTAAGTTTTAATAATTTTGGATTATAGTTAGTTAGGCTGTAATAAATTGGATTTTTTTAGCGGATTAGGGTTTTTCGTCAAAACGAGATTTTAATGGCAATTCTTTCATTGATTAGTTTACTCTTTATAATTGTCTATGTATAATTATATATTTTATCTATGATAATGCTATGATTTTTCTTTTATGTGATGCAAATTTAATGGTTAACATAAATTTATACAGGAAAAGAGCATCTCAATATTCACAAATTGATGAAAAAATGAAAGTTAATAATGTAGTACTTTCATTTCTTATTGGATTCTTAAAAAATAATATTTATAATGAATTTTAATAAATTTTTTGGATTTTTTTTTAAGCTTTAATCCGTCCGATTCAATTGATTTTTGATCCGAATCATCGATTTATCGATCTGGATCGATTTTTTAGATGCTCGATTTGGGTCACCGATCCGCTTTTTAAACCATTAGTTGAAAGCCTTGAACTCCTGCTTGCAAACCAAGGGTGCTTATAAGGAGTCTCCATCTCTTGAGAAGAGTTGAGTGCTGTTGTAGCCAAACAGGGTAGCTTTCAAACTTACCCTTAATTCATCGGACTCGCGTTAGTATGTGTAATCGTAGAAAACATTATTGCTAAAATATTTGGATTATTTTCATGTAGACTAGCATTTTGTTGTTTAATGTAATGTTCAAAAACCAGGTATAACCGTGGGTAGATTCCCCCTTCGTGGTGGTAATGGATGTTGCATCAGAAAACAACGCTTTACACCAATGGTTTAAAAAACGGATCAGTGACCCGGATCGGGCACCCAAAATATCGATTCGGATCGGCAAATCGGCGATCCGGATTGGGAATCGAGTGAATCGATTAGAATAAAGCTTAAAAAAAATCTGAAAAAATTACTAAAATTCATTATAAATATTGTTTTTTAGGAATTCAATAAGAAATGAGGGTACTCCATTAAGAATTTTCATGTTTTTTAATAAATATGCGAATATTGATATGTTCTTCCCTGCATGAACCGCCATTCAGCATTTAATTTACATCACACAAAAGGATAAACATAGAATTATCATGGAATAAGTATATCAACATACATGGATTACAATAAAGCATAAAATTAGTAACATATGATCTAAAAATAAAATGATAGACGACGTTATTGTTCTTCTTGGTCACGTTGGTGCCATTGATTGAATTCGTTTAACAATTCATTTATTCGATCTAAAAACGAATCATCGATATTAGCAGGCGTCTGACTATTCCTAAATCCCTGAGTATTAGTGTTTTGTTGTGTTCCCAATCTAAAATCCCCAAAGCTTGTCCATCTTTCATACTCACCTGCACTGTCGTGCTCATCCCTACACTGTTGCTGTAGGGACTCGATATGTGAATAATATGGTTGGGATAGGGTGGCCTCAGAATCATCATCTCTCATTTTCTCTTTGAATAATATGGATTAAAAAAAAAATTTAACAAATTTTCAAAAAAATCGATCATAGATTAAAAAAAAAAATTCACAAATTTTCAAAAAATTCTATCATGGATTACAAAAAAAATTCGATCATGGATTAAAAAAAAAATCACAAATTTTCAAAAAATTCTATCATGGATTACAAAAAAAAATTCAATCATGGATTAAAAAAAAAATTACAAATTTTCAAAAAATTCAATCATGGATTACAAAAAATTCGATCATGGATTACATAAAATTCGATCATGGATTACAAAAAAAAACAAACAAAAAAAACAAAAAATTCGATCGTGGATTACAAAAAAGAAAAAAACAATTCGATCATGGATTACAAAAAATTCAATCATGGATTACAAAAAACCCTATCATGGGTTACAAAAAAACCAAAAACAAAAAATTCGATCCTGGATTCAAAAAAAAAACAAACATTTCGATCATGGATTACAAAAAAAAAACAAACATTTCGATCATGG